TAGCCAATGTGCCTTAAATCCATCTTTCCTACGTTTATACATATGGGTCCAGATTGGACTACAGTATACAATGAAGGTAACTAAAATTTTTGATTTTTCTTGGCCATTTAAACAACTTTATGTAATTTTATTATCTATATAGCGGCGATACCAGTGTTAAAATCAAAGCATCCTCTCGGTAAGTTATATAATTCCGTTCCGTATAGTTATTAAACCTCGGCTAAATTAAGATACAATACTTTATTAAATGTATATAGCATTTGGAAAACGAGCTAATGAAATTTGGAATGATTTAAATGGGTTTATTCTAGAATTAAACAGGTATTTTTACTATTTATTAAGCTAATTAATTTTTATTCATAAAATATTAAATAAATTTTATGCATTTTTATCTATACAGCGTAAGAGAATCAGGAAAAGGCTCATATAGATATGATCGATGTATAGAACAACAGCGTGATGGCTATAAAGAAGAAACATACATTGACCACGCATTTAGTCCAATTTATAAATTGGATGGTACAGTATGGGGCGTAATTAATATAGTAACTGAAGTCACTGAAAGGGTCTTAAATAATCGAAGATTAAAAACTCTTAGCAACCTTTCTCTAAAGACTGCTGGTTAGTAATCGTTAGAAGTATCACATGATGCTGTTATGTATTTATTAACATTTCTGCATGGTTTAAGGTGCCGAGTCCTTAGAAAGTGCATGCCATATTATAGTGGAAACTTTACAAAATAGTAAAGACATTCCGTATTCACTAATTTATCTTGTTGAAAATCATAATGACCCCAAAAAAGCTGGCTCTAAATCTCTGATTGCTCGTTTAATTGCTACAACCTTTGACGAAGTCTGTAAAGAAGAGTTTATTCATGGAAAATTAAAAAGAAACATTCCAGATTATCTTCCTGAAACACACGAAACAATTGATCTAAACAAACTCTATGATCAATGTAATGATAAGCATGTGAAAGTAAAACTAGCAACATCAACTTATTCGTTTTTAAAGTGTGATTTTTGGCCAATACATCTTGTATTGAGGGAAGAAAAAAGCATCCAACTTCTTTTAAATGACGATTCTCAAGCAATTCTCTTACCAACAAAACTTATTTTCTGCAAGAATCGAAATTTATCAGCTATAATAATTTGTGGAATTAACCCACTTCGCAAACTTGATGATCAGTATATGGATTTTTATAAAGTATGCAAAATATACAATGTTTAGATATTTAAATTTTCATTATTTAACAATAAAAAAATTTATAATTATTTAGTTGGTTTTAAGTTGTGTGAATAAAGCTTTGATGCGTGGAATGTCAATAGAAGAAGAAAAGAGGCATTCAAAAATATTAGCTGATTTAAATCATCAAAAAGATATGTTTTTCCAAAACATCAGTCACGAATTAAAAAGTATTAAATTCATAAAGATTTTTAATAATTTTTTCTAAAAATGCCAATAGGCTTATTAATATATTAAATTTTTTTTTCATTTTAATAGCACCATTAACCCTAATATTTTCACCACTTGATGAACTAATTAATATATGTTCACAAGATTCACGAATGAATTCATATCTTCAAATTATACGACGCAATTCTAGTCGGTTACTTAAACTTATCAAAACCTTGCTTCAGGTTAATTTATATATATCTTGATCTTTAACACTGTCAATATTTTATGTATATTAAAGATTATAAATTTTGCGTATAGTTTTCTAAAGCAGAGTCTGGTCGATTAGAAGCATATTTTATTGAAATAAATGTAGCTAAACTTACTCGTGAATTGGCCATAAATTTTGAAAGCATGGCAAAATCTTTAGGTCTAGAATATATTATTGATGTTCCAGATCCAGATAAATTTAATCAGATTGTGAATGATAAAGTTTATCTAGATCGTGATATGTATGAGACAATTGTATTTAATCTTTGTAAGCATTTTTGTAAATAATTTGTGAAACTTACTATGCCAAGAAGTTATTGATGCAATGATTCTTTTTTAAGGTTCAAATGCATTAAAACACACATGGAATGGATACATCCACGTTCGCTTAAGTCTTAATAACAAAAATAAACAAAAAATGATAGTTCTTGAAGTGTCAGATACAGGTTAGTCTTGCTAATATATAAATATATATTATAATCTTTATACTGTAATTGTAAATGTATATATATTTACATGAATTACTGTATTATTTTAGGTGTTGGCATCCCAGAAGCAGAACTTGCAAATATATTCCAGCGTTTTTATCGTGTAGAATCACAAAATTCTCGCAGTCATGAAGGTGCTGGAATTGGTCTCGCTCTTGTTAAAGAATTTATTACATGTCATGGAGGAGATATAACCGTTACTTCAGCAGTTAACCAAGGAACAACATTCAAGTGTTGGTTTCCAACCGGACATAACCACTTGCCAATGAATCAAATATATCCGAATAATATGAAAAATGATCTAACGAGTAGTGACCAAAGATATTCAAATATACAACTTTATTTAGAAGAAAACTCTCAATGGATACAAAATTATTCATCTTTGACCCAAGATAATATGATAAATAAGAAATTAATAAATGATCATAACAAAGATATTGATAAATTTTATAATTTTGTATCCCCTTTCTCTATAGATAATTATCAAACTGATATCGGTAAAAAATACCAAATATTGGTCGTTGACGATAATGCCGATATGCGGTAATATAATTTCTACATTATAAATTTATTTGATTTGTTCCTACCATTGGAATAGAAATTATCTATCAGATTTGTTAAGAGAATTTAACGTACTTTGTGCTTGTAACGGCCAGAATGCAATTCAAATTTTAAACGAGCTTGACAAATCTCCAGATCTAATTCTTAGTGGTAAATGAATATATAATCACAGCATTTCTATTATTTAACATTATATTAATCTACGCTAATTAATTTAATTAAATTTAACAGATGTTATGATGCCAAATACGAATGGATATGAGTTATTGGATAAGATTAGGTCTAATATAAAAACTCAATTAATTCCAGTAATCTTATTAACTGCAAAAGCCGGTGAAGAATCTTGTATCAAAGGTAATCTATTTTGTTTACTTTTGAGTTTTAATTTTTTTTAAAATATATAATATTATTTATATTTATTTATTTATTAGGGCTTGATAAAGGGGCAAATGATTATTTAAAAAAACCATTTTCTGCTCGAGAATTAATAGCACGTATTCGTGATAATATTGAGCTTTCAAATCTTCGTCATAAAATATTATTCCAACAACAGAGGCAAGAAGAGATAAATCAATTTCTACTTTCAATCTCAGAAACGATTCATTCTAATCTTGGTCTGAAAGAAGCACTTTCAAACGTTATAAAAGCAATTCATGGTGTATTGCCATGTGATACAATATTTATTATTTCATATGAACAAATTACTTCAAGTCGTACTTTGGTTGCTTCGTATGAAAATCCAGAAAAGACAACACCGATAGAATCATTCCAAGAAGATAAAGCATTTGTTAATTTGCATTCACAAGATTCACAAAATTCACATTCACAAACGTTTTTAAATAATAAGCTTGGAGTAGATATTTCTCTTAACGTAAGTTGTACCGATACTTACAAAAATGTATCTATGTTATCCGCAGAAATAAGAATGAATGATGGCTGTTGGGGATGGATTAAACTACATCGACCTCCAAATTCTAATTGGTTAAATTCAGAAATCGATTTATTACAACGAATAGCAAATCAAATAAGTTTGGCTATTACTTATAATATAATAATGGAAGAAAATTTAAAGAAAGATATTGAAATTAAAGTTCAAACTATTGCGAATGAAACTAAAAATCAAATATTAGCAAATACTTCTCATGGTATAGTATAAAATTATAATATTATTATCTTTGCGTGATATTTAAAGTTTGATTTTTTAATTATTACAATCTCATTTTTCTTATCAAAGAATTACGAACCCGCTAGGAGCAATAATGGGATTTCTTTCTTTCTTCCTTTGATGATGGAAATCTAAATGATGAACAAAGAGAAATGATTGATATAATAATTCAAGCTTCTGACTCTGCATTATTAATGGTTAACAATATTCTTAATGTTGCAAAATTGGAAGCGCACAAGATTGATTTAATAAATACGGAATTTAATTTATTGGATTTATTCGAGAAAGTAATTGAGAAATTTGTAAAGGATGCAGAGAGTAAGGAAATTGAATTGGTTTTAAATTATGATGTGGAAAACTTACCAAAATATGTTAAGAGTGATCCTAATACTATACCTTCTTTTTTTTTTAAAAAAAAAAAAAGAATAGAAGTAAATTTCTTAATTTATTGCTCTTCTATTATATAGACTGAAAGAAGTCTTATTTCACTTATTGTCAAATTCGTAATTATATTTTATATTATGGTCTCATTGTTAATGTTCATGTCATATTTCGATATTATTATTTATTCAGGATTAAATTTACCGAGGAAGGTGAAATTGTAATGGATGTTTCAATAGAGTCACAAAAAGTCATTGATAAAGATATAGAGAATCAGACTTACAGTCAAAAAAACCATCTCCTATTATATACCGTAAATTCTCAAAATAGCAGGCATGGGCGTTTTTTCGAATTTTGACCCGAATTAAGCTTAATTCGGACCAAAATTCAAAATAGCCTCATGCTCGCTATTTCAAGTATTTACGGTAATTAAAAACTTAATAACTGTATAATTGTATATAATAGATAGCCAAATTTTCAATAATGACCGCAAACAAAACTTCTTTAACGTAGATAGCTAACTCTGCCAGCAGAATCAATAGACCCCATCTACAAGAAACTCCTAATCAAGGTCAGTAGAAGCAACTACCCTACCAAAATAACTTAGGCAATTGATTTAGAGTGTACCTTTGCGCTAACGCTGAGTTAACAAACTAAAGCCATCTTTGCTAAATGTCAGAATAGTCCTTCCAGAGTGTGCCTTTGCACTAACACCGAGGCAGCCTCCTAATCAGGGTTAGACAATGCTTGTAGTCACAAAGAAAGCACATAACAATCCCTCCTACGGAATGGATAGACATAATCGACTGAAAACTTCTTTTCAAGGTCAGTAGAAAATCTGGCCGTTTAACAAATCAGCAAAGTCTGAATTCAGAGTGCATCTTTGCGCTAACGCCGAGGCAACAAACCAAAGCCTCCTTTGTTAAGTGTCAGATTGGTTCTCCAGAGTGTGCCTTTGCGCGAACGCCGAGACAGCCTCCTGATTGTACCATCGAAAAATATTTTTACTAATCACATTGCTGCATTACGAAGATAGATTATCTTAGGAAAAAATTTAAACGTACGTAAAGTCCTTAGGTCTGAGACTTTAGGGCCTGATCTTTAAAAAGACCAAGTCCAAAATTCAGAACCTAGGGTTCTTAGGTCTTTAAAGAGTCCTAATATACAAATTTATAATAGTTTAAAATGAAATTAAAATAAAAATTTGATTATTGACAATTTGCTAGTAAATTTACTAAAACAATGTAAGCAATTATATTAAATTTGATAATAACAAAAATAATTACATTTCAAATGATAATTAAATTCAAATAATTGATTAAAAGTAAACCAATATAAGTAGATTATTTAACTGTGGATTTCAACTGCAAATTTCTGCTATTGCATAATTCTGGACAGCCTAATCAATATATATATAATTTCAATAAAGTTTTAAATGCATAGTTTAATATCATAATCATTTATTTAATGTATATAGTACAAACTGTTTCATAATATCGTTATTCACATTCTAGGTAAATGCCAATATGTATATATAGCGGACCTACTAAGTCTTGGACTGGATCTAAGTTGGCTCAAGTCCTAAGACTGACTTTATAAGAACTTGGTCCATAAAGCCCATACAGTAAAACATACAGGTTATGAGACCAGGATTGGACTTTACCATCCTACGTACAGTACGACAATTTGCCTACACCACTACCTCGCGACGAATAAATATTTACTAATAGGATATATTAGAAAACGATTATTCGTCACATGGCGAATATCACACCAAAAACCGGGACCCTCCGAATCCGCGAAAATCGTTCTGTTATGACGCACACTCATTCAGTAAGTCGGACGAAAACGATATTGACACAAGATTAAGAGTCTAGAACCTCTAGAAGCAGCCGTTATAGACAAATTAAAAGTTTATTTGGCAGCAGTGATCCAAGCCGATTAAATTTTTACGGCTAGGCTAAGCCATTATATTTTTAATGGCTTAGCGGCTTAGCCTATAATTTATGGGATACGTGTTATTTCACTTCACAGACAGCTTAGTTCACCAACAATTGTTTCATTTCACTGAAAAATACTTTTTATAAATTACACCAATCTTAGCTCTAATTCTAATCTGACACTAACAACAATGACCAGAATTACTTTGTCGGTGAACGGTGAATTAATTGTCGGTGAACAAAGCTGTCGGTGAAGTGATTGTCGGCGAAATGCGCACCTCCCTAATTTATGTCATATAGTACTTTATTCAAAATAAGTAGCTTTTTAGATTCGGGTTTACTTTAAATATTCCGGCTGTTTTTATATATAGAATTTTAAATAACAAATTAAATTCTTGGAAACAAATAAGTATTCAGTCGAATAGAGATTTGTTACCAAAGTTTATATATGTTATACGTTAAATTGAAATTTGCTTCAGATCAAATTTTCAAAACTGAGTTTAATTAGGGTTGGGGTAAAACCCTATATTGGATAGTTTATTAATGGCATTATAATTATTTTGATCTAATGCAAAAATTTTAATTCGATGTATAACGATAACAAAGATTTAAGTTTTTTTTTATACTATATAGTTATAAACAACTTCGAATTTTGTATCATTAGCCGTTATTAGCCGGCTGATCATACTATCAGCTAGCTAAGCGGCTAACTTAATCGGCTTGTAACACTAATTGGCAGTATAGAATAGACGTGCCAAGTTCCGGAAAATAGCTCGAAATGCCAATTATAGGCAAAAGAATCCCGAGTATGCTCATGAAAATCGCGAAAAGAGGTTCAAGGAAGAGTTAAAATGCAAGATTTAGACGATGAAATAAATTAAAGGTTTGTTTTAAACTTTTTATCAAATTCTCATAGAACCAAATTATTTTCATGAAGTTAAAATTATAATTAGGCGTTTGGTTCAGATACTTTTACTCCTGTATGCGCTGTGGTTATCATTTTTTTTCTGCCATTACATGGAGGATATGTGAAATTTAATTTTTAATATTTGTATCACATAGTATTTTTAACTTCTGATTTACCGTATCCTGCCGCGAATAAGCACCCACCTTTTGCAAATTTTATATCCAAGTTTCTCATGATCTAGTGATCGGATCTGTGTAATTTTGGTACTATTCGAATCAGCTTATCAAAACAATTCGAATGGTACCAAAATTACGCAGATCCGATCACTAGATCATGAGAAACTTGGATATGAAAATTGCAAAAGGTGGGTGCTTATTCACGGCAGGATACGGTACACAAAAATGATTTACAGGATCATTTCACCATGATAATCGAGCATTATTCATTTTTTTATCTGCTTAGAGAAGTGAGAAATTAGAGGAAGAAGCGAAAAGAATAGAAGGTTTTTTCTTTTTATAAAAAAACTGTTTACTATTTTTACCTTAGGCCATGCAAAATTTAGTAATTGGTTTTCATAACATAAATTTTTTCTCACCCGCCCGACCGAAATTTTTTTTATTTATTACAGCTAATTACATAATTCCTGGAACACCTGATAATGATTTTTCAACCGATTCGATTAAGTTTGTTATTTCGGCTTAATAGATTCAATAAAAATTCATATATATACGTAATTAAGATCTGGTAATTAATATAATTATTATTGAATATTGTATCTCTGGTAGAATACAGAAATATGATATTTTCAAAGCATCTTCGCTGGAAAATATTAAAAAAAAAAAAAAATTTTAGAAGGCCTATCATTTCGAAAAATAACCAAACACTTATCTTTTTATAAGTCGGGTTCTTAAGCACTTTCAAAAATATGGATGTATTGAAAAGTTTCCGTCACTTTCAGAACCACGTTCACTGAACGTGAATGATACAGAATATTTTAAAACTTTAAAGAAAAAATCCACAACCCGAGATGGAACTCTTGTTAGACATTATGACAATTTGAAGGGCCACGAACCAACTTGCAACTTGTATATACAAATAAAAGTAATATTTATTTATGTACTTCGTGGAAATGTTTATTATAAAAGTCTAATTAATGTATAGTGCATTTTTAATATTTCTTGTTAAGACTTAACTGACACATTAAACATGTTGGATAAGCATTCGAACGAAAGTTTAATAATGTTGACATTATTATTACAACGGTCTGTAGAACAATCATTATAAATCAAAAATAGTTTTTATTATACGGATTAGTGCTACAAATTGCCAAACATTTGCAATCGATTAGTTGTCAACTTTTCGATTATTCGATTTTAATGAGTTGCCAAAAATTTTAGTTGTCAACTTTTCGATTAGTTGCGATTTTCGGTTTTCGATTTGTAGCACTAATACGGATCATGCCGAAATTACAAACTTAATCGAATCGGCCGAAAAATCATTTGGCCAATTTTATCTGTAAGTACTGTCTTACTTCCGGGTAGGGTGGGTGGGATTGATATAACCAGAAAGAAAGTTGGGTTTGCAGAAAAGGCAGATAATTCCTGCTTGCCTACTGATATACTATGATCCAATTACCTCATAGTAATCAATTTATCAATTACTTCCACGTTAACACGGGATCAGGATCGGATTTGTGTATTATTTGAATCTAAATAGGTTTTGTTTTTATAGTCTTAGAACTCTTCTTTACATATACGCATTGAATAGTTAATGGGTCCACTGCTTGTACTTTATGAAGACTGATGTATTTCCACCTAAAGGAATACCGCGTAAAACACAGTTTACGTTTTAAAGGTTTTACGTATTCTGCCGTCTTTTTTTTGATCTTGGAACGTTTCGCACGTGACAGAGACCAACCACAAGAAGTCCTCCGCATAGCAAAAGAATTATTGAAGAAGAAGAGAGTAGGTATTTGTGTAGGATTAAAGTTTAAACTTGGTGATATTGGTTTTATTATTATATTTTTTATCTTTTATAAAAATTGTGAAATTTAAATTTTTCGTATCTAGCAATTTCAATAATTTGTTTGATAATCTTTGCTATAACTTATATCTCATTTAATTTTTATTCTATAAAGTCTCAAATAAAGGACATCAAATTCATGTGGAGAGATCTTGAAGTCTTGGGCGAAGCAACCAATGCCCTAGGAAAGAGGAAGACTCAAGACGGAGACACAGGGACTACAGGCATTATGATTAAACGAAGAAGAGCAGATCCAGTCAGCATTAAGATCTGTGGAGACCTGGCTAAATCGTTTGATATGGTTCCAAAAGTAGTGGAGGACCTTAAATCTCTCATAAAGGCGCCACTCGCCTGTAAGTTGCCTGTGTCTGTCAACGTTGGATCGAAAGCCCTTAGTAGGTTCGTATACATGAGTGAGGAGGATCGCGGGTGCTAACTGGCCACTCATGTAAGTTATATCTTGAGTGACGCAATTACCTGGAGGTGTAATACAGTCCGGACTTAATTTGTCGACTAAAGAGAGCGATGGTGTTCAAAGGGGAGGAAAAAGCTGGTGTAGAAGATCTTAACCTCGCCCTTAAAGGGTTTAAAGATAAGTTCCACCGAATGGATCCGGCTATATTCGGTGAGATCGTGCTACGCAGTGGTTGGAATAAATTGCGGTTCTACGCAATTCTTGAGGTCTAAAAGGATTGGTGGAATTATATTACGTAGTATCTTATTTTTTTATTTTAGCTTTTTATTTTAGTTTAGTTTTATTTTTATTTTATTTTTTTTTACTCTCGTCTTGTTTTTTATATTTACTTATAAATAAAGTTGATTAATCTGAAGTTATATTGTTGTTTAAATAGATTTTATTTTATTTTATCATATTGGTTCCGACAATCAGCTTATTTAACCGACAAATATATATGTCTGTAACTTAAAATAAATTCTTCTTTTGCAAATCCAAAATGGAAATTAATACCTAATATTGTTCATCGTTTGCGTAACAAAAATAGTTGATGCTTTCGAAATAACAATAAAACATGCGAAAAAAAGAAAACATGAAGAGTAACAATAGATAATTTAACAAGAATTACAAAATATTGTAAAGCTGGAAGAGTTTGAAAGTATAGTTTATAAAAACCTTATGAAAGTTGAAATGAAAATAACGGAAAATGATTGAATCTAGAATCATCTGTTGGCTTATTTTGCATAAATAAAATATGTAGTTATTATCGTTATATTTTATATAAGCATTTTACTTACTCGATAAGTCACGTGAATTTCCGAATCAAAAAGAAATGCTGAAACTTTGTACCGCTTCAAAAATGATAGAAAATGTAAAAAATTTTGAGAAGCGAAAAATATTCTGAAAACATGGAGTGGAAGTAATAAGAACGCCTTTTATTGGCAATAAATTAAAATAATTGCGAATATAAACCATAGTTTAAATTATAATGATTCGAGTAGTGAATATATAATTTCATTATTTTATTTTTTTTTTTTAATGTTGATTTAAATTTCGATCTTAATTCGCCACCAAAATCAGGCTTTTTAAATTTCAATCTGAGCACAAGAATGAAGTTTTTTATTTATTTATTTGTTCTTATTATTTCACCCTAACGCTAATCATACTTCCATCAATAATCGTTATATATATATATACCTAATGCATAGGGATGGTAAAAAAACGGTTTAAACAGTTTTTTATACATTTTTTATTGTTTTAAAAAATGTTTTAAAACATCAATGGCTGGTTTGAAATTTGGCTGGAATTTAAACTACTGCCTTTGATTGGTTAATTCAGTTTCAGAAAAAGATTTCTCTTTTTATAATTGATTTAATTTATTTTAAATTTTTTTATCGAATAAATGTATCATTTTATAATTATAATTATAAAAAGAAATTATGAAAGAGTGAACGACTTATTTTTTTTATCAATATGCACTCTGAATTCAATACGTACATACAATATTTATTGATATTGAAAGTCAAAACCTACAATATGTATTGCAAATATTACTTAATGTCATTGTAAAACCAGAATTGTGAAGGTTCAGAAGCTTTTTACACTTAGTTAATGTTCTTTTAATCAGCCAATTAAATCAACGGAGTCTTCACTCAGTAATTACACTTATAACGTGGTGTTGTTCGACCATGTTTGTCACTTTCTGTAATTTTTGTGAAATTCAACCAAATTTATTTCAATGGAGGTCTTCCACGAGACATAGTTATTCAAGGTTTTTTTCTTTTTTGATATTAAGAAATATTATTTAATAATAAAATCGAATTGCGTAATTTTATTTACTAATTGGGGTCTTTGCCTTGAAAATGACTTTACAGCTCATGTACCGTAAGGTCATTTTCAAGGCAAAGACCCTAATTAATAAAATTGAATTGCATAACTTTATTTATTTATAAATCGAATTGCGTAATTTTATTTATATATGATGATTACATCATAATGTTTTAAAACATTTTTAAACAATTAAAAATCAAACAATCGAGATTTTTAAGATTATGTTTTAAAACATTTGCCATCCCTACATCAGGCCCTATAATTAATTAATTAATTAATATTAAATTTAAAAATAAAAATAATCAGTTTTATTTGCATACTCTGGATATTCTGCATAGCAGCAATGGTCTTCACATCATTCGAAGGGTCAAACTCGGCCCATCCAAACTTTCTACGCACCTCAACTAACAATAATGATAGTTGATGTGATTTCTTGAAATTGGTGGATACTTCACTCAACAGTTTTAAACTAAAATATTTTTTTAGTGCTCTCTCTGGCCCAAGATCATTGTAGTTAAGGACCAGAGAAAGCAATGTGTTGTTCCTGGAAAGCCCATTAGCGAATGCTTCTCTTGTCCTGCGAAAACTCCGAATGCGTACTTTCCATCTCTTACTACCGTTCTAAACTCATCAATTTTATCACGACCTATAAACAAATTATTTGTTAATTGTTATATTGATAATTGTTGTTTTTGTGATTAGTAATTAACATGCCTATATCTTTTGAATACCACGCTTTGCACTGAACAACAAACTTCATCCCAAAAATTTCCACAATAATATCTCGTCCTAGATCTCCACTTTTCCTATAAATTAATAAATTAATGAATATATATTTCATCGTCATATATAGCGCCACGATGTGCTTTCGATTCTCAGATAATTTACATCGAGATAGCATAACTTCAGATACATAATGACTCGATATATTATTCAAGAAAACTTACCCGACGTGCGTAATAACGGCATCATACACTTCACATAAAGCAACTCAAGTTTTCTTCCCAACTTCTGTGATTTGATACGAACAAATTTAATTTCTTGAGACATTTTTTTTGGTTCAAAAAAAATAATGTCAATAAACACCAAAAAACTTTTATTTGTATTACCATCATTCCTTTTTCATTAGGAACATTTTGTAAAAAAAAAACGTGTAAGTATTACTTGAATTATTTCAACATGAATAAAAAACATGTTTTTAAAATTTTAAAATGTGTCGAAAATCTTTATTTATATCTATTTGCATATCAAAACGTTTATTTAACCTCAAATAGAAATTAAGCAAATGCATAACAATCAATTATACAATAGAGCTATTACCCAGGTCACGGGTCGAAAATTCGGGTCAAACGGGCAGAATTTAAAGTAGGCAAAAACCTACTAAAACACTATATTGCATAATTTACTATATAGGTAGAAGACATTATAGTGCTAAATAGTAAAGCTCTTACCCAGGTCGTCTAACCCGTGCGGGTCAGCTTCTTGTATTTCCCGGTGTAGAAAATCAAATCACAAGCAAGATCGAAAATTTTTTCAATTTAATAATTGGAGTACAGCTGTTCTCTATACTAACAGCTCTAATTAAGTATCGTTGCATCAACTTTTAAGGATTAACTTCAAAAACTTTATGAATTTCCGTTTGACCCGTTGAACCCGGGTTATAACCCGGTCAATACCCTGACCCGCCCGGGTCGGTATTTTCTGACCCGGGTAAGAGCTCTATTCTCACAATGTGATCTGATAGTTGTTTGAACAAACATCCTTGCTTTACTATATGCCTTCAGCAAATTGTAACAAAAAAAAAAGGCAATAACAAATGTACTGTAACTCCTTTTTCAACACCTCAACAATTAAATGTAACTTCGGCAACTCCAAGTGCCCTATTTCTCCTTTTACAGACTTCACGAAAATTCATATGTTGTTCACAGCAACAATATTCACAACTTTTTTCTCCTTTAACTTCGAACAAAACCAACGCCAAAAATAATTGGAATACAGTATTAAAAATTTTTAATAAAAAAATATATATTTTGACGTAAAAGTTAGGAAATAACAATTGTTAGCAAGATTTGCTCTTTGAGTTTCCTGGAATTTTTATTAGTGATAAGTGTTTCAAATATAAAAAGCAACGCAATAATTTCGCTAAAAAGATCCATGAACAACCTTTTTTTTTTACTCTATTAATAAGCAGCTTTGGCCAATCAGCGTTAACTCTATGAAAAAAAAATGGTCAGTGAAGCGGCAACTCGATCAATTTTTTCGGGTAATTTCTTATATCTGATAAATAAAAGCCAATCTTCAGTCGAAAAGCATCAAACCGAAGCTGAAGGAGTCCTTCTTCTACTCATCCACATTCGACTCGCGCCACTAGATACCGTAAGTTGGATTAATCCTAATTACATATCAAGGACTTATAGATAGAGAAAAATTCCACAGGTCAAAAGGGCAATTGGCGATATAATAAAATTTAATAAATAAATATCACCTATCAACTGCAAAAAATTATCGTCCGTGTACGTACCAGATCTCAAATGTCTTCAGATGCGGTATAATAAATTTATTATCTAGAGTGTAATGAGGGATAATAAAATTACGATTATATGATTCTATTTGTATCGGGATGATGACTACTGTATAGACTTTGAGTTATTAAATTTCGTAGTAATATATTCATTATTAATGTAATTTTAATTTTACATAGTATTGAATATTTAATCGTTATATAGTCTCATAAAAAAATATTGCCTTTCAAATAACCAATATATCGCTGTTTAGACTAATTAGAAACCCGAATAGTGATGCCGAGATAACGTTTATCGACACTATGTCTTAGGTTTTATCACATGATAAAACTGGTAGAATTGATTTTAATATATAAAACTGATAAAATAAAAACGATAAAACTAGTTATAACTATAGTTAAATATATTAGTATTCGATACGTTGGGATTTTTTTTCGCTTGTTTACATACAGAACAAGATATTATTCATTAATTCCGGGATTAGTTAAAATAATTGAACTACCGCTGCTATCAAATTACGTAAAAGTCAAGTTTATAAAACATCTAATTCTTCTATTATTTCAATATTTCAAAATTCATTGACTAGCGACTGTTCAGTTTGTTCGATTAATAAAAAAATACTATTCATGGTTGGCCTCGAGCAAAAATATGGGTATAAATAACATGAAAAATATTTTATCACGTGTTAGTATTGATAATTAGTACAATAACATTTAGCAATAGGTATGTATAAACAATATGTTAATGAAAAATTTTTGGGGCTTATTTAAATCGATTGTAGTCGAAGAATATTAAAAAATTTAACAACTTTTTTTGGTTATTGGACCAAATACAATACAAAATAGATTTATTAAAATATTTTATTAAATATTCGTTTTCAAAAAAAATAATGAAATAATCGTTACAACTTTGGATACTACTGTAATTAATATAACTTTTTAAGCTAATCTTTAAAAAAATACTAGAGAAATAAACTTACACAAAAGTTTGAATACAAAACGGCAATACTTTGAGATACTTAGTTTCAGAGATAATTACTCTTATTTGTCCCAACCACCACGTAGAGGTGTATCTCGTTGGTTGGGAAGGCGAACCCCAACCCATCTCTCTCCGACCGGTACTTGTCGTGGTTCTGTTCCCGGTTTTTGAGCGGGTTGTTCCCTTGAATCATTAATACGTTTTAAGTATTTCATCAAGTAGCTTTTGCTCAATTTATCCTCTCAGAGCTCGAGAAAATCCGTACCGTTGAATATACTCCAAATAAAAAACGACGACTATTGAATATGTAAAAATAAAAAAAGTTAAAAAAAGTTAAAAAAAAAAAAAAGGCGAAATAAAAAATGAGGTATGCAAAAAGTAAAAGAAAAAGGTGATCTTTATATGTCTTTTTATCAACATGTTTATTCTGAAAAACACGCGACTTTTGAACGTGTAATCAAGTGAAAACCTGTTTCAAACCAGTCTGAGTTTTTTGCTGTGATGTAATTGGTATGTTTTTTTTTATCGGTTATGTTACTGTAATCAGTCTAATAAATTTTTTTTTATAAGCGCATTAAAATGTTCTTTATTATCAAGCTGAATGAGATTAATGCGAAAGAGAAGTATGTAGACTTTTCAATGATCAGAAATTACGAATATCAAAACGTAACCTCTATTAGAGCTATTACCCGGGTCTGGTGACCTGTATGGGTCACGGATCGAAAATTTCTCTAACCCGGGTCAGAGTTTTAAATAGGCAAAACCCCACTAAAACGCTATACTACACAATTCACTATATAGGTATATAGAAGACGTTATAATTACTAAATAGTAAAGCTTTCATCTGACTTCAATACAAAATCCGAAAAATTCTAATTTAAATATTTGAGTAAGCTGTTTTCTATACTAACAGCTCTAATTAAGAGTCGTTGCATCAACTTTTAAGGATTAACTTCAAAAACCTTATGAGTTTTCTTCCGTTTGACCCGTTGACTCGGGTTATAGCCGGGTCAATACCCTGACCGGGTAAGAGCTCTACAATTTACCTCGTTTAAAGTGGTGCACAATCACGTGAACCATAGCCAATCAATTTGATCCCCAAAACTAACCCTAACCCTTACCCTAACATTAATTAAATAGTCAAAAAACATATAATGCACAACGCTTTAAACGTTCCCAAAAAATGGCGATTTCTACTTGTGCCCGTCTCATGCATAACGATAAGCCTCTTTGTTATGTGGACAAATTATGTATAACTACCAGATCATTAACGTTAATTCTGATTTATTAAAATTATATCGAAAAGTGGTATATCTTTAGAGGATGGAAACACGGGTGACGAATGTAATTCTGCGGTGCATTTTGCCGAATTTGCAGAATCCGCAATTAATTAGTGTATTTTATTGATCAAATTTATATTGGATCAACTTTACCGTATAAACGCGAAATAACGCGCAGGGGTGTAATTTCGGTTTGGCCATTATTCACCTGCGCGTTATTTCGCGCTTAAAAAAAATAATTTTTTTTTACCATTCATTGTATAATATCTGATAACCTCTCAATACTGATACAAAATATGTCCACCGTGCATATCAGTTTTGGGATATTCAACAGTATATATCTATATATACAATATACCAGTGATGTTTACTGGAAGTCTGGAACCTCACTGGATGTCCAAATTCTTCCAGAGTTCCAGCAGTTCCAATGGGAATTCCCATTGGAAGAAATTTTCCCAATGGAACTTATATTATCGCCCAATAAAAATGCGTAGATACAAATAACATTAACCAATAAGAATGTGCATCTTTCACGTGATTATTGGTAAAATATGCATTACGATCGGCGCCGAGTTTCTTACAGACAGTGCATGCCTACCCTAACCCTAACCCAATCCTAATTCTGGCAACTGAACTATCCCTAAGAACTGTCCGTAGCTTCTGCGAACGATCGGGATATTAAAAAATAAATGCTTTTTGATAAAAATTTGACTAATAAAACAATCAATCAATAGAAAGAATGACATTTTTTAAAAAAATCAAATACCTTACCTTTCACAGTTCATATCTCGATGAACTTTGAGGTTATCTTGATGATTTAATATTCAAAAGAAAGCTTAGGTCGTAAGATTTCTTTTGACTATTAAATAATTAAGTAGCTTCATAATCCATCAAAATGTGAGCTGAGAAAGTTAAAGTATTAATTTTTTTAAAATGTCAATCTGCCTTATTTCTATTGACGGCAGCCCATTTAGTCAATTTACCACTCTAGAACATATATATGTCAAATAAATATGTATATTATACAAATTAAAATCGTATGTACTTCTTTTTTCATTGGAAGTCATTGGAAGTTCCATCCAGCCAATAAAAATCTTCACTGGAACGGTCCAGTGGACATCCGATCACTGGAAGTAAATTTGCTTCCAATTCCATCCAGTTAGGTCCAATGGCCATCCAGTAATTTCCACTGGAACGTTCCAATGGACAACACTGCAATATACTATATATATATATATATAATATATAATAATATGTACAGTATATACAATACAAATTAATCTAATCAGACTTAACTATTAACTAGTTATATTATTTTTATAAAAATTATTTCTAAATTCGTATAAAGCCTGCCTAATAACCAATATATTTAAATGATAAATAATATAAAAATATTATAAACCTTTTAGCAATATTTCAAACGTTTTATCTAATATTCTTAAGGCTTGAGTATCTTTCTGTAAAAATATTTTAATTAATAAAAAATTATATTTAGTTGCTTTTGTATTAAAATTGTTTACAAACCTCAAAAACAATATTGTTTTTGCACGCTAATTTTAAAAGATAGCATATTTTCTGCAAAGTGGTCTTAAGCAATCCAATATCTTTTTTAAAATATTCATTTAGCGTTTCAATATCTATAAACAGAATAAAATTATCATTAAATATACTTTATTAAAAAAAAAATAGCACTGAATTTTAAGAAATTACCATTTTGTTCAAGTTGATTTATGTGATACCAAGAAGTTGCTACAGATTTTAATATTTGTCCTTCATATTGTGTTATCCTTATTTTCAAAATAATTAAATAACTATGTGAATGCTACTATTGGAATAATAATGTTAAAATTGACTACCTTGGCCAGCATTTAGTGATAATCATTTCTAATCCTTTTGCAGCGCTTATATGTAACCCGAGAATTTCTTCATTGTTTGAAATAATTAAAACTTCCAGAGTAGTACAAAGAGCTTGAATCAAATCCTTTTTGTTTATAGCATTTATAGTACACGCGAATTTCAAGAATGATGAAAAAAGCCAAGCATATTCACAAATATTAGAATCACCTGTAAGTACTTAACGGTCACAATACCAAGCTCTTCACAAATTCTTGGTATTTGTTCTAGAAGGACTCGACGTATTGCTAATTTTTCTCCAGAGAAGGTCAATCCCTTGACAACAATGTCAGACAGTATTTTTTCATACTTCATATATCTAGATTCAGCTTCTAGTGGTTCGATCAACGAGACCAAGGAAATAATTGTCGAAAAGCTTATGCGTATTAGAGTTACATATGATATTTCATCCAGATAGGTGAGACACTTAGATAATGCCTAAAAGAATAATAATGATTACACAAATTAGTAAATACATGCTTACTAATATAACTAACAGTTCTAGATACAGACCTCATAAAAAACTTCACCAAGACCTGAACGTTGAAACGTTTCAGAGTCTACTAATTTTAATAGATGTTCAAGTATAGATACTCCACGAATCTTTAATTTTACGTCATAATCGTCGATAAGAGATAGTATTGGTGGAATAACGAGACCAAGCAATGGCTCGATTTCAGAGGGCTATAAGAGTAAAGGTTAAATTATGGACCAAAAAAGAGCATTATAAATTAACAAATACCTTCGTTTGAGAAATGCACCATTGAAGTATATTGGTAGCTTGCATTACTTCACTCCTCCATGACTCATTCATATCTTCAAAGTCCAATACGCGTTTCTTTAGTTGTTTTCCGCTGCTCAGTTTGGCATTCTGAACCTTTGAGTGCTTAATAAAAACTGGTTTTACAAAATTTTCCAGGATTTTAGGCACTTCCAAGCCGGAACTCAGAAGTTGCTTTGCCAATTGAGCTTCCTGGTCTTCCATTTTTTCACGTCACCAAAAACCCTTTGTGAAAATTCTGTACCGATCTTTCGTTGTGTGTTACAGTCTGGATATACGAACGAAATTTTTTAGTAAATTTTGTCGCGCCAAATTTAAGACAATATATTGAATTTTGATTGGCTAATACAGGCTAGAGGTTGGAACCAGTTTTATTTTCATTAACCGGTTTTATCAATTAGAACCGAATATAAATCGGTTATATTATATCCGCCTAAACCGGTTAATCGGTTATATTAATCCGGTTAAATCGGAGTTGAGCCCTCATCATGTGAACGCTACGGTTATATAAGTTTTCTGATCGAAATTGAGTTAACATCTATCAATCTAGTATAGACCGGTCGATCTTCAAAATCATTAATTCCAACCAAACATTAAAGATAATGTTTTTTTATTCACAAATTAATAATAATGTTCGGGGATAGGTTCATCTTATTGTGAAATAACTTTACTTAATAGACGGCACAATTTCATTAATAAATTTGGTGCAATCGTATTCTAAGCTTTTTTGTCTGTTTCCAGTCAGAATATTTAAGGACCCTCTTGTCATGTCACACGAGTGGATGCTTATATGAATCTCAGTGATGATCACAGATCGCTCTTAAGATGCCACTCCTATAAAGGCTTACATTATGGATCGATAAATTTAAAACTAATTATATTCAATCACTACGTTCATCAACCAAAATTCTATTAGTACATACGAGAAATTAAATATACAAATATCCATCCTATCCCTAAAATAAAGGTAGTCTCTGTCACTCCTGCGTTTCAACAATCTCAACAAATAAGATATTTCCATTATGCACGACGAAATATGTATAATGGATTAATCAATTGTCATATATTGGGACGATAAACTAAACATGTATCTAACAGTATAGTGTTTTTGTTCTCCTTCAACGGTTGGCATTAATGGTTGAGGATCTGAAGTATAAAATGAAAGAGTTGGAGTCATTGAGTTCCTATTATATGAAATGTTATAATTCTAGTTTTAAGCGAATATACTAACTCTCTGTAATTAGATCATGAGAACTTGGCACCGAATTTATGGAAAATCTTATTCGCATATATTCCGAATTTAATGGATCGTCTTTATCCAATGAAGCTTCTAATATGAAATGGTCCAAAAGAAGTTTACATATTTCTACATTAATTTAAAAAAAAAATATCGATCAAAACTTAAATTAGAAATGCATATCTTTCGATCATATATATGCAATGTCTCAATCGAACAGCGACCCAATGTAATGTAAAGAATAAATTACCCTCTATATCTTCAATCCTACATAAAAAAACGGTATACCATGGTATGCTTCCTCTATTCTCGGGAAAGTTTTCTTTGTGCAACAGTTTTGATGCAAGAAGTATTGATGCAGCGGCTAAAGCGTTCGGCGGAAACCTCAGGCAAAGTGTTGTTTTGTAGCTAGAATTAAAATTATATCATTAGATATGTAGGAAATAGTTTTATTGATATGGATGTTACCGGTAAGTCGAGGAAGAAGAAAGAAATAGCTTATATATATTTTACCATTCATTGAGAATGTTATACGCTTTAACTGCTAGGAATTTATCACCTATATTCACATCAAATTTAGAAATTAATCCATAGATCACAATTAACTATATATAGTCAAATCATAAAATTTTTTCACCTTTTAATTTTTTTACAAATTTCATAAGCAATTGATGAGGTGGCCAAATGTGAAAATCAAAGCAAATTGTTTCTACGACTAAACGCTCAATTTGAATTACTCGTCGTCTTTGATCTTCAAACATCTGCCATTATCAAACATAAACATTAATTAACAAAAAAAAAAAAAACGGTCGGTTAAAGGCTGATTGTTAATCTTAATAATACCTGATTTTCGCCATTAACATCAGTGAGTTCGGGATGCCGAACTTTATAAGCTTCTACCAAAATATCTCGAAGCTTTTTATAGGTTTCTTCAATCTTTGTTGCAACAAACAAGCATGTTATACTTAGATCCTATTTCAAATTGATCAAAAGTTTAGATCTTGTCAAGAATATTAAATGAACACTCAAAAGTTCAGATAGCTTTATAGTATTGGATATTCACAGATTTTTGATTTGCCGTAGAAAAATCTTTCTCCGGATGAAATAAGTAAAATCGATTAAACAGTATTTGGGCGGTAGTAATAGTATTTTGTGGGCTACAAAACCAAATAAAAAAAATTCCACATCATTTATCAATATAATCTATAATAATTTTACTTGTTTACTTCAACACTATGTTAGCAATCAAAAAGATAACTTTATTAAATTAATAAAATGAAATTTACAATCCCAATTTATTCCCAACAGCAACAATAAAACTACACCATTGTGCACGTGATTTGTTCTCTTTAGAATTCGAAAGTCCTCGTATCTGTTGGCTCTGGCTAATTTCAGCCAAAGTAAAGTACGACCTCGCCTTACGCTCAAGTACAAAATATTGTTCCATTACACCTTCTGTCGGACTTGAATTTGCTGTTACGCTATTCATATCTGCGGGTGAATTAGTATTTGAAGACATTACGGTACTAGTATCTTTGGTAAATAACGTTGACAGATTTGAAGATATATTTGAGGACATTAGTAAAAGTATGTGGAATCGTTGATATTTTAAAAGTGGCGATCTTGAGATTCAAATCGATCTAAAAAGAAAGCAGAAAGATGCCCAGCCGATTAACCATGAGGTAGATTGCGATTGGTTAGACAAGTTTTAGGTACATATATATGTACTGAATTCTACAAAATTACATATGGTAACACAAGCCAATCATTTGCTAATTTCGCTATCCAATAAGAATAGTGAAACCTTAAGTAGATATTCAACCATCTTTTCTTTTAATTCATAACTATATAATCGCATCATATAAAAACCAATTATAACAAAAGGCCTCTAAATAAGCACACCTCTTTACAAGAACATTTTTTTAAAAGTTCCTATGGTCCCAAAAGTGTGATATAAAGAGGTAAGATTGTATATAGTGTTTTTTTCCTAGTACCGAAAGTTATTTATTATAAATCTAAATATAAATTTTACATATATTAAAGCCCTTACCGTTACCCGGGTCAGGTTGATCGTACAAGTCAGCTTTGTCACGGGTCAAAATTTGGATCATGGATAACATGGATAAAATTCAGAACCCATAAGGTTGAGAAGTTTTGGTTACCCGGTTTATTATTAATATAACAGGTACAATATAAAATTGTAAAATTCTATAAGCTCTGCTCTTTAAACCCTTGGGAATAATTTATATAACTACAGTATTTATCCGGATAATGCTCTAAATAAGAGCAACTTTATGTTAGTGGTAATTCTAAAATCTTTATGATTTTCTGTATGACCCATTAATGACTTGCAATATAAGACATGTAATAGCTCAAATTGAGTGATCAATAAAGTTAATTGAAAAATGACTTGTTAAAATCTCATCAAAATAAAAGATCCCATTTTCTTTTTAGAATTTCGAATCAGAAAATTAAATAGGCGTAGTGGTAGGCGGTGATAAAATTGGCTTTTTTTTGATATCATTCACCGGTAAACAATTGTACACACGAATCTAGCATAACCACCACGATAAGTTACATACGAAGTTAGAATTAATAAGTTACATTTTCGTTATCTTCAGGTTCTAGTACTTTCTTGTATTAAGTTGTACAGGAGCGACCGTCGATGTTACACGACCCGGTGTGCAACATATAAAAAAACTATTTTACAATACCAGATCATTCCGACAGTACATGTTATGATTATAATCCC